TTATATTATCTATGTTATTAATAAGATGTATAATAAACTCACTAACATCTCGTTGAATCTTTTCAAGATATTGATCTCCTGCCAATTGGCGTATTGCCATTATATTAATAGTTTCGTCGTTTGACATGTAAGAATTAATAAATTTTCTTATAATATTCCTATGCTCAAGACGAAGCAACAATTTTCTGAGAATAGAAGAATGAAGTATACATTGAATTGACACATTAGCATAGCAGGATATATTATTAACATTTGGAAGTCCTCTTATATGCCATAAAGTAGAATCATTAATATCCTTATCATTAACTTGACATTCCAAGATATTTTTTGATGATATTGCCCAAATTGTATCACGAATCTTGTGAACACGTTGTTTCAAAATATTAATATGTATAAGATCTGGCCTGTATTGTGTTCGCAATCTATTATATTCTATTATAGCTAACTCATTTGCTTTTACAGAAGAGGGATCAAAATTTATAAGGTGCAATCCACTCAGGGTAGTCACTCGTGAAAGAGCGACATATACTTGTCCACAACTGAATATAGAATTTCCAGCTTCCACAACAGCATGTTTTAAACTCAGGCCTTGACTTTTATGAATAGTCATACCATAACTTAGACATATAGGAAATTGTTTTCTTATAACAAATGCTCTATCCATTACTTCAAACTTGACATTTAAACGTTCTATAATATGCTCTATTCCTGATGACACTATTATCTTAATTTTTTCTACTTCATTGTCAATTGCGCTACGTATAATTGATGTAATTGTACCAATCGTACCATTTACAAGACCTAAACTAACATCGATATTTCTTCTAACCATTACACGTGCTCCTAATTTGACAGTTATGATTCTTGCTAATCCAGCTGTTCGAGAACTATCTTCATCATCTTTATTTAATATCTTCATAACTTTTTTCTTTAAATATGGTGCACATTCTGCCAGATCTTGAGCAACGAGTTCTATCTTATCCGAAGAAATACGATTTAACATTGCAGTATTCAAAATATCACATAATGCACAAGTTGGAAGTAAGCAAACAGTATCCATTGGTAAATTTTGTAAATAATTACATAATTCTTGTAATCGGTCGTTACAATTAGTTTCTCTAAAATTGATTTTCCTCGTTTCTAAAATAGTTACGTCCGAATCTGTAATTGTTCCAATTCGAATTCTCGTTAATATATCTCGATAAGAATTATCACCTTGTTGTCGTACATTAATTTGTAATTCATCATAACTAAATAAAGACCATAAATTTATAGAACCCATTGCACCAATGTATTTCTCAATTTTTAATTTTGATAATTCAATAAAAGGCGGATCTTCATGCACAAGTGGAAGTTGCAATAAATCTCCAAAAAGAAGTATATGTTTTTTGCCGAACCATCCATTATCGCAATCCATGGTATTAAATATCTCTGTTAATCGAAGATGTATGTACATTAAAGTGATATTTGAAATCATTGAAACTTCATCGATAATTATTAAAACAACATTCTTAAGTTCCTCCCGTATAATTTTAAGAACTACATCAGAAAGTTGTGTATATTTGGCAGTACGACCATGTTCTACCGGTAATTGAAATAATCTATGAATAGTAAGTCCATCAATATTAAAAGCTGCTATACCGGTTGGTGCAGTTACCGCTGTGTCTTTCTCAATATATTTTTTAATCTAATAGTTTTTATCAAAAAACTCTTTCCAGTACCACCTTCACCGCTTACATAAAGTCTAAGAACTTCACTATTATCATCAGATATACCAGCAGTAATTCTATCAAAGATTCGTTTTTGATCAATATTTAATTGCGTCACCATTTCATCGACATTAATTTCAAATTTATTGCCAACATCTTTAAAGTCCCTCATAGCTCCTTCAACTTCGACAGGAACACATTCTAATGCACTATTTTCAAGACAGTCATTTCATCTTCATTTTTTGTAATTTCTGATATTTTTTTTCAATTAATTCTTTAATATTATCCATACCTTGCTGAATGTCGGTTATTTTTTCATGATACTGAAGAGCATCTTTCAATTTATATTGTATTAAAGAAAATGCTTCTGCATAATTATCACATTCATTCATTAATTCACTAATATCTCTCCAAGATTGAAATAATAGCAATAATGAAAAATAGTAACGCTCTGGTTGAGTATGGACATTGTATTTGTAATGATTGATAAGATATCCACGTTTACGTTTCTTTAAATATAAAGATTCACCAAGCACGTAATATTTTATTGTCTTAGAAATTGGTTTAGTTTTCGTAATATCATACCATTTTGCATAATCATACAAATTAGTAGATTCTAGTTCTTTAGGTCTGCTTGGATAATATGTATCAATTAGAGAAGGATCAAAAATATCCATAGATTCAGAATTTAGCATTTCAATCTTTTTGCGAGATTTAAAAAAAAAATCATGTAATTTTACAGAAATTATGTAATTCCACAAAAATTATGTAAATTTGTCTTTTATTGTGTAAATATATCTGATTTTATATGGAAAATTACATAAATTATAGAATATTCTAAATATTTTATGTAATTATCCAAATTTTTGTAATATTACGAAATATAACAGTAATATTCCATAGTAGAATCGATTCCACTTGATTAAACTATTTCTACAATTAAATAACACCTCTCTCTGCGCGTTTATTCTGCGTCTGGCTCTTATTCGCCTGTTTCGATATCATTCATATTATCTTATATTAGAGCCTCTTTATTTAATTTTATATATGTATCACTTTTATATTCTTACACTCATTATTTTGTATTTAAGTTTGATTAAGTTTAAAACTTTTTATATTTAAATTCTTTTTGTGTAAATTATTAACAGTCTAATAATATGTTCTAATTACAAAAAAATAGTATTATATTTACATAATAATATTATTAATATTGTAATATTATATGTATTATTGTGGCATTCATTCAGTTTTATTCTTCTTAAATCATTCTTTATATTAAATATGTTACAGTTACTGCTTTTGGAAGACACATGTATATATGTATATATGTATATATAAAATTCCTTTGGAGTCAACACAATTTCTTTCTGAGTTTCTTCACTTAATTTTATTTCAAGAGAGGTCGTATAGAGTTTTGTCCAACTTTTCGTTCAAGAAAGGTAAGTACAATATTTTATTAATCTTTTTTCAAAATATATATATTACTATAAACATTATGGCTGTTCTGTGTTTTATATCGTTTAATATTGTGAAAAACTGTTTCATACGACACATGCTAAACTCTTTCCAATATATTCTAGGCCAGAATACGTCTCAGATGCCCTGGAATATTCTGCAAAGAGTTTATAGCACGTGTCGTATGAAACAGTTTTTCACAATATAAGACACAACAGCCATAATGTTTATAGTATTGACGTATTCTGGAATATTTTATATGTGTTAATATGAATGATATAGAAACAAGCGAATAAGAGCCAGACGAAGAATAAACGCGCAGAGAGAGATGTTATTGAATTGCAGAAATAGTTTAATCAAGTGGAATCGATTCTACTTGATTAAACTATTTCCACAATTAAATAACACCTCTCTCTGTGCGTTTATTCTGCGTCTGGCTCTTATTCGCCTGTTTCTATATCATTCATATTAACACATATAAAATATTTCAGAAAACGTCAATACTATAAACATTATGGCTGTTGTGTCTTATATTGTGAAAAACTGTTTCATACGACACATGCTAAACTCTTTCCAATATATTCTAGGCCAGAATACGTCGCA